GACATTTCACACAGAATAGAACGATAAGGAACACAGCTTGATAATCGTGTAACATTAAAATTATTCTATAAAATTATTATGTCAAATGTCATCTATGAAATTTTGTGACGTTCAATATGCCTGAGCAATTTTTCCTGAAGGGAAACAAAATAATACACTTGAGTGTGAGTTACATACGGAACAGTTCCCTCATTATTTTAAAACTGATTGGTAACATTCATTTCATTAACAATTGAAAAAAGAAAAACTTAGAAGTAAAGAAAACATAGAACGAAAATAAAAAGCAGGGCCGTCGCGAAGGGAAATTATCGTCTTTGCAAGCATTGCCGGATCCACAAAATTGGCAACATTGTTGTTTCTCCATCTAAATCTATGGAAATGTATCGATTCTTGAGGGGTTCAGGTACTCCAACAAGAATCGATTATTGAACTTATAGTTTTAAGTGAAGGAAATCCAGTGTTGCCAAATTGCTAGATCCGCTTTTGTCGCAAAGAGCGAAGTTTGAGCTTCTTCCCTCCTCCAGACAATGGGTGGAGGGAGGGAGGGAGATTGACAATTCTAGTGGGTGTGAAAGTACTCTCTTTAAAGACTAATTTCTTTTGGAATCCAGGGTGGGAATTTTTGAAATTCAAAAGTTACGACCATGGTTAAGATTGAGGCCGTGATTAGTTTTTTGTTTATTTTTTTCTTTTTCTTTTTTTTAAAGTAAAAAAAAAAACTCTTTTCAGAATTGAATAAGTAAAATGAAAAAGAAGTATACTGTTTTCTCTACGCACCCCAAAGTGAGTTCATAATTATTGCACCCCTCGCGATGGGCCTGATAAATAGTGCACAAAGGGATGGTTTGCGCGCACTCCGCAAAAAAATAATTAAAAAAAGGCGGGAAAAGTGGGTGCACACGCGTGCCGCTGATATTGTACGATAACTAACTAAGATAACAATTCCGTAAAATTTCAGGAGAAAATAAAAATAAGTGAAATGTGTCCAAATAAAAATAACATTTTCCTTTACATTTATTCCCACGTTCGAATCTACAGCACTTAAAACAGTGCATTAAACAATATTACAAATGTTGTAACATTTTCACTTAGAAACGAATAGACAAATAAATTAAAATTACTATACACAAATAATTGTAATGCCATGAACAGTTCACAACATTAATCATTGATCGGTTACACTCCACTCTGTGACATTCTCCCAAACTTGGATTTTCATTTTGGTTTTAATGATGAACCCGATCGCGATCTTGATAAGTTGGCAACACTTGCCCATTTCAACGCGCCTGGAAAATCGATATAGATGGAAGCAGACACATTTGCTTGTCTTCGATTTTTCATAATGCATTTGAATGCATAACGAGTAGCGTTGCCAACTTGCGACGATCGCCACTGGCTTAATCTCTGGCCGATTTAAGATGTCAAGAATTCTAGATTCAAGGCGCAAAACCGATGCTCAATCAATTTCTAATATAAATGTACGTATTTATGCTAAGAGGAACTATATCGCACGCAAATCTCATACACATATAGTTCCTTTCAGCATAAATACCAGTGGCGTGGCGTGAATTGCGATATATCGATTGTTATGCCATTTAAACCTATGAAAAAAGATCGATCATGAGGGTGTTCGCAGCGAACACCTTAGTAATCGATTCTTTACCATAGTTTCAAATGGCGAGATATCGATAATCGATTATTCACGCCACGCCACTGATAAATACGTCCAAATGTACGTTCGTGATCTAGCCATCATTGTCGTTCAGCTCTGCCACAGAGGTGGATCCAGTAATTTCTCAACATAGGAACCCTCCATTTAATCCTATGCTAAATAATCGATTTTTATCGAAGCACCCGGTCCCTCCAAGATTCGATACATTTCCATAAGTTTAAATGGAGAAAAGACAATGTAGACAATATGCTGGATCCGCCAATGCTCTGTTGGTTCCTCCTGCTGGCAACGATGGCGATCTTCGCGAGTTAGTAACTCTGTTCTTTTTCCATTTAAATGTATGTAAAAACTCGATCTTCGAGAATCGATTGGGTTCAAATCGATAAAGAACAGTGTTGCCAACTTGCAAGAATCACCACCAGATGCGTTGCGGGCTTTGCGATATATGAATCAACTGCCATTTAAACCTATGGAGAGGATCGATAAACTGAGTGTTCGCTACGAACACTCCAATAATCGATTCTTTACCATGGTAATAATGGGAAGATGTCGATAATTGATCGTTCACGCCCCCCGATTAATCACCACTGCGTTAGCGGGATAAAGAGTGCCCATGAAATCGACCGAAAATAAGATAATTGAGCCATGTGATCCATCATGTGCGGAATAATGTGCACGGAAAAAAAAAGAATTGCTGATTCAGCAATTCAATTGCTAAAAACAGTGAGAGCAATGTTTCAACGCAGATTTTACAACAAAAAAATGCTACTTTAACCACATTGTAAACTAATTTAACCACGAGGGTGGTTAAAGTAGCATTTTTAATGCTATACTTTAACCACATTGTAAACTAATTCAACCACGGGGGTGGTTGAAGTAGCATTTTTTTGTTGTAAAATCTGCGTTGAAACATTGCACTCACTGTTTTTAGCAATTGAATTGCTGAATCAGCAATTCTTTTTTTTCCGTGTACCGTAATTTGATGGGTAAAATTTTCATTGGCCTCGGATATCGAGTCTCTGTGAAATGGACTGCATATTGCAATAGGGAAGTACAATTTTGGGCTAACTCTACAAACGACGTATGTGGCATTGGTTTCAATATGCACTTGGGTATTTTTGTAATGAGCCAAAAATTAATAGTTCCTGATTGCAAAATGTAGTTCAAATGAGATAAGACAACTCGTCGATACTCCGACGTAAGGGCATATCTCTATCTGCACATGAGCCCTAGAAAGCATAGAGTTATTTGGAGAACAGGGCTCACGTGGAAATTAAGAATTGAGATAAGCTCTTACGCCAGAGGGACGACGACTAATTGGGACGATCAAGGGAGTAACCGCAGTGTGATCTAAGCCGTGTGAATTTGATCTGCCATCCATTGACGGAAACGTTTCATCCTCTCGCATGATATTACCGGATATTTGTCATTACAACCACAACAATTTAGTTAGCTCGGCGTAACTAACAAAGTGACTAGATTTAATAGACCCCAATTCTCCCGTGCTAAAGAAGAACGCCGTTTGAACATTCGAGAGTTGCCAAATTTCCTTCGATAAAATGTTTATTTTTGAGGGACATTATGAACATTTTTCCTTGAAATCTTCGGACACCTAAGATCAAATTACAGACACAATTATCTGAGAAATTGGCAGAAAAACATTCAAAAAATATTCTGAAAAATAATGATTTGCCAGAGGAAATTCGGCAAGGTATGGAGGCTCATACGGAATTTGTTCTTAGCTCGGCAGAATTAACCTATGCTTGACACCGTGTTGACTCAGTGATCAAAAACGTTCAACTTCTTTTCTCGAGACTTGCCGACATGTTCGTTTCTTTGCAAGACTGAGTTCAAAAAGATTTTTTTTTATCACACTCCAACTACTTTCACCCTTCAGCTTTCAACCTGTTACCGATTGATAGGATTTGACAAGTCTATAGCGCTGTCACTACGGAGGTAAGGGGGAGTAACTTCCAGTTTGCTCATCTCATGAAAAAAAGAACAAATGTTATAAAAAAACTGAAGAGAAAACACGTAAAAAAAGAGTATGACTCATCTCAATCTAAAATAATAGGCAGGAGGTACATGTAAACCAATTATTGTGGAAATTGTCAAATAGTTGAACACAAGTGCCGATTCAAAGGAATACATTCGTAAACTTCAAAACCTCTACATTCCAATACCCAAGTAACGTACATAGTAACATTTCGAGATCTCCTTTAACAATTTTAGCGTAATAAAATCTTACAGTGCGTCGTCAGTAGAATTCAAGGCGTAAAAACATTTAAATTCATCAAACTAATATATCAGCTCTGCGCAAAGAATATTTCGAATATAGAACAGTATACAGGACCAATGATTTCAATAATGTCCCATTAAACCGTTAATTTTTGTGAAGCCTACAGTCACAGTTGCAAAAGAGATAAAGGTGAAATTTTTTGGGGGAGAGGGGAGTCTACAATGGAGAATTTGCAGGGGTCTGAAATTTTGTACATTTCATGTTTAAAACAAAAGTACTAAGAGTTCTAAGCATTGGCATATCCCTGGTTTTAATTGAACAATTATTGGAAGAGATACGACCGAATTACCAATTCGGCTGAAATACAAGTGTTTACATGGGAAATATCACCAGATGACGTCTCCCGGCGCGGTGGCTTTTCTCAGTTTAATATCTATTTTTCTACAATTTCCTATTTCAGAAAAAAATTATGAAAAATGATGCGAACTCAGTTCAGTAAGCTCTCCAAATGAAGCAATACAATTTTGGTGTGCAAATTCTCCATTTCCACTATGATCCCGGAAGTTTTTGTTCAGATTTCACTTGGGGAAAAAAAAACTCATAGAAAATGCCAAGCAAGTAGAGACAAAACCCCTTCTGGCTGAGGGGTGGTTTCTCTCGGAGATAATCTGCATGTTTTAAATGGTCTGTTCCATCGAACAACGCTACTTGGGTACTATGCTCACAATTGGACTTATTTCTATCAAAGAGACCTATGTGCAAGTGAGAAATATGGGGTGTGCTCGTTAGTTCTCTGGCTGAAAGAGTGAATGAGAATAATGAAGCGCCAGTGACGTCAGCGGCGAAGAAACCAACGCCGTTGCGGCTCGAGGGCTGCTTTAACTGGATTGCATTTTGCAAAAAGGAACCACTAGCATTGCAATGTTGCTAAGATTGTGCAACTTCATTTGTCTTGGAGGAAAAACCCGATTATCCATTAATAGTTTCTATTTTACTCGCTAAAAACTGTAAATTTAAGACAAAAATTACCATCTAAATTTCATAGTTTTTCACGATTTCTGCAATTTTATTGCAAAAGATGAAGTTGCACAATCTTAGCATCATTGCAATGCTAGTGGTTCTTTTTTGCAAAATGCAATCCAACTCATGAGCCCTGTTCACGAAGCTCTCTTGCCATACCCGATTGCCCGCGGCTCATGAGTCTCGCATTCAGTTGGCACATAGGTCTGTTTGATAGAATGTAAAATCCCGCTTTTCCAATTCTTCAAAAGGAATCACGCCCACTTTTATATTGCTTCTTATGCAGCTTTCTAGAGCACACCCCATATTTCTCACCTGCACATAGGTCTGTTTGGTAGAAATACGTCCAATTAAGCTTTCATCTTGTGGCGCGAAATTCGTGAGGCGATGCACTGGTCCGTAGTAAAAAATTATTTATAAGTACCTGGACACGATACTGTCAGTTCGCGAAGTATTACCTGAAGTTAAATGAGATTTAGAATTAACCGACGGAGTGGTGTGACAGCTGATGAACGGTGCTCTGCAAAAAAAACAAAAGAAAAATATACCTAATGAATATTGAAATTTCAGAGGAGAATGGTTGGGAGCAAGGGACCGGTCCACGCATTAAAGAGACGCGAAACTGTGTTCGTCACGGTTTCACCTGCTGATATCGCACTGAAAGGTCTCGTTTAAAAATAGGCAGCAAAGATTGAAATAATTCCCCTAAATGAAGAGCAAGAATTTCGATCATAAAAATCGAAAGAACCGTGTTAAGCAGAGAGGAACCAAGCCACATCAGCTATTGCCAAATTTTTTGGACCATTTAATTTCTTACATGAAAACGGTTGTACGGATTTTATTTTTGCATTTTTCACTGAATTTTCTGCATAAAGCGAAATAACTTCTTCAAAATTTCCAAAAAAACCGCACAAACGTTCCCTCGTAAAAAATTTAATTGCCCGGTTAAATTTGGCAATAGCTGATGTGACTTGGTTCCTTTCTGCTAAACGCGGTCCAAATACTTGGTGTCTCGGACACTAAGGTTTATCACACCAAACTTTCGGGTCAAGGAATAGGCCAATTGCACTAGTCGCAGAACCCTACCTTGATGGTTTCAGCTTACGGACCAGCAAAAAAGAATGAAATCTATTTAACCGCCAAGGTTCCATGTACAATATCAACGAAGGTATCGTTCCATCGAAAAACACGGTGAATGATTTCATTCACAACAGTGGTGCATACCATGTTTTTTTCTACATAGTCTCCACCTGTAACGACTGTCGTAATTAGCGAAAATTGGTTCTTCCTTTGAACTTCCCGTACTATTAAATACATGTATATACCTCCCGACGACATGAGCTTGGCAACGATCCAACTCTTCCCGGGGGAGAGCGACCGTGTAAACTTGGCTCATGGGTCAAAGTGCAGGTTCATCAAAAGTCTGCCTTCTCAAGAGCGTAAACAGCGACTACTGCCATTATTTCCGAGTTTTTAACGGCTGAAAAATCAGTGCAGTTTCTCAAGAGGTGCGATGAATGTGTTAACCGCTTGTGAATAAACAGATTCCGAATTGGTCAGATTTTATGTAATTTTCTTATCATCTTAAATGACAGCAATTTATACAGAGTGAGCAAAAACTTAATGGTGGTAACGAGTGGAAAAAGTCCTGAGTCCGCGAGTCAAAATAATCGCGCCGAACACACACCGGTTGGCGCGAAACGTATATTAACGCCTACAAGACTGTGGGAATACTTCACGCATTGCGCGTTTACTACGGAGCGCACGTATCGCATTGTAGCGCCTACAAGACTGTGGGAATACTTCACGCATTGCGCGTTTACTACGGAGCGCACTTATCGCATTGTAGCGCCTACAAGACTGTGGGAATACTTCACGCATTGCGCGTTTACTACGAAGCGCACTTATCGCATTGTAGCGCCTACAAGACTGTGGGAATACTTCACGCATTGCGCGTTTACTACGGAGCGTACTTATCGCATTGTAGCGCCTACAAGACTGTGGGAATACTTCAAGCATTGCGCGTTTGATACGGTGCGCGCTTTCGTCGTTGGAAATTCTTAATTTCTCGGTGCCGGTCCTACCGCGTTCTACACTATTGCCGACTAACGCACGCCATGACCGTGAGCTTGCAATGGTAGGATCGAGAGATCATAGAGATTTTGCATCCCTGACTGACGTCTTTTGAGTCATTCTGCCGAGCTATAGAAAAACGCCGCATGATCATACGAATATTGCCAAATTTCCTCTCAAAAATATCTATTTTTGAAGAAAGTTATGAATGTTTTTCCTTGAAATTTTCAGACTTTTTCGATACAATTTCGACCAAAATCCTCCGAAAAATCGAAGGAGAAATATTCGCAAATTTTCCTGAAAATTCGTAGTTTTTCGGAGGGACTTTGGTGACGTCTGATGGCTCATACGGCGTTCTTCCTGAGCACGGCAGCATTTATATCGGGATTCGTCCGTTTTCTCTGACCGACGATCGTTAAAACGAGAGCCTGTCTAGAAATCGGCCGATCCCTTGAATTCTCGTAATAGAGAGGGATAACTGGACTACATTTTGCAATTTGGAACTATGAATTCTAGCCGGGTTTAAAAACAACGGATGTGCCATTAGTTTCCCCATGCACATGAGTGTTCTTCCAGAGGAGCCAGAATTTATAGCTCCAAATTGCAAAATGCAGTCCAACTGTACCTTGGTTTCATCAATCAGCGAGACACTTTGCACTAGTTGCCCGACTTAAAACACGGATAAGAGCGAGGAGAAGGAAACTATGGTATCCACTACCGCGATGGATGACGTCATTCAACATGTTTTATAAGTTTATATTGTACATGAGAGCATGGTGTTTGAGCATATCCTATTATTTTTTGCTGCTACATAAGCCTAAAAACTATCAGAACAAAACACTATTCTATAACCAGAGCAAGTAATCTATTGAACATCTTCATTGGTTCGGATGAAATTCAAGGTTCGGTTACATAGTAGGAGAGCTCATTATGACAAATCGAGAGATTAGTTTGACAAACTGATCGTTCGATCGATGGACAACTGGGCACAGGTTGTTTGGTTGAAGCGACTGATCCCCCCCCCCTTTTATTGAGGTGAAAATGATCAAAATGCGAACATCGAATTCCCGACACATTGGCCTGAGTTCCTCTAAAATAAGTAGGACTTCTGTATGGAGTTATTCTCATGGAGTTTGCCACTCTGACATCAGATCGTGATCAATTCTCAATTTTATAAAGAATTTTTAAGACTGATCCTTGGCAAATCTAGCTGATGTTCAAAATATACCTAGCTATGTGATCTCAAATACACAAAATCATTACTTTGAACAGTAAGTTTTGAAACATCAAGAGTCTCATGGTCGATAGAGCGAGCGTCGAATATTTTTGTCTCCACACTCACTGGTTTTGGTAATACGAAACCTCAGGAAGTTCAGCAATCATTGATTTTCTGATTGTACATCAAAGAATTCAAAGCGCAGGTGCTTGGGTGATAAAGATAATTCTTCTTGTATTGGTCTCAGCTATTTTTCGAAAATAAACTTTTTAATATTTTAATTCCATGCAATCTTTCAAGGTCCAGTTACACGATCAAATTGGGCCTCTCATTGATCGCATCCTTACCTCAGGTCTCTTTCCATCAATCAGAGCTTCAGTTTGATGGCTCAATTTGATCGTGTACCTGAACCTTACAGCATGATAGTTACTACCGATGAATATTTTAGAGAAACACTGGGTCCCATGAATTAAACATAGCTCATCAGCTTTAACAACGAATCTCATGTTTGATCAATTGACAGAGAAGATGACAGGCTTAATAGAACCAAAATGAAAAACGCTCTCAGGACAAAGTAGATTTCAAGAGATTCGTCAAATCATGGAGTAAATATAATGCATCAAAAGGGTTGTTAGGTTTTTGCCAATACACGCAACCAAAAGTAGGGTTTAGTTTTTAAAATTTTTGAGGGATGACAAAACAGTTACAACATAGAAAATTGGTTAGTACACAGAGAAAAACGGTTATTCGTTTAAACGTACTACATCGTGATGGAAAAAAACCAAACAGAAAAAAAAAACATTGATAAAATGAACGTCAAATATTGAATCACACTATCTAACATTCTATAGGCACTTTTAAAATCAAAATGACTACAATCTAACGTAAAATTATTTTTCTTTAATGACACAAAATTACAAATACATACCATGGTAGTATTTATCTGCTTTATGAAAGGGCTTTCAAAACCAATCCAAGATTTTTTTCAAGTCAACAACAGCGCTCGGTTTTCACTCAAAATAAAACAAGCTCATTGCGTTGTCGATTTCTCAGAAATTCTCAAAGACAATACTGAGTGATTTAAGGACTCATTGAACCGAAATTTATGACCGCACCATAGAAAGGCTTACTGAAAATTAGAGCAATAGAGAGGTCTGGTGCACTAACAGGGTAAATGAAATTGAGATTTTAAAAATTTCCGAGGGACCCTCTTGAAAACAATTAATTTTAGAGAAAATCAGGTCCTTGCCTCAGGCTTAGCAACACAACAACAGTTGAAAAAGTTTCGGCCATTACAATGTTTCAATTTCATTGCTGATTATCTTGGAATTGCAAATAAAACCACAAGTAACACGCTCAAGCTGTAAATGCGCATTAACAACTTGGCCGTACACGAAAAAAATGTATGTCAGTGATTACTCCTGATTGAATATGTCATACTTGCTCGTATTTTGACAGTGCTTATCACACGGATAGTTAACTTAACCAGGCGCACGATTAACAGCGTCAGAAATCGAGTACTGATTACTAGATTCCCTGGGTATCATATTTAATCAGGAATCCAGTAATAACTTGCATTCCTTTCAGTCAGTGTAACTACAAGTAATTGTCGGAAAATATTGATTGGCTGCATGGTGACTTTGGTCAACCTGGATCAACTCGAAAATATATTCAAAATTATGGTTGACGGAACTATATGCTTGCAATGTTCTTCTTCTAGACTTTGAGATGAGGAGAGGTTGAATTCCTTTGACAAAGTTAAGTCTGTTATTTAATTATTTTATTTGATTGGACATTTTTACTTGGCCTCGAAAACTACAGAATGTAGGGATTGTAGTTGAGAGCTGGAAAAAACTCTTGGTTCGGAGAAAGGGTTGGTTAAAAATGATAAAAATAAACAAAAAATGATTTTATAAAGAAAAGAACCAAATTAAAATTCTAGACATTTGGCGACCAAGGAGAAGGCGAGGGGGAACTCGTGCATTTATGCTAATTGAACTGATTGAGTAACGGTACCTTCTACGGACAAGATAAATATAATTGCTTCGGTTTAAATATAGGTAATAGTTATAAGAGATATTTTTTTTAGGTTCAAAGGATACAAAATTGGATTTTACAGATCGTACGGGTTTTTTATAGGCTGTGGCAAAGTATCGTAAGTAGAAGCTCAATCTATAAAATTTACTCATTTTACCATTAAGAGAAACTGCAAGTATTTGGATATCCAGTAT